GACACGGGCAGGGATGGACACACAGACACGGGCAGGGATGGACACAGATGGACATGGGCAGGGATGGACACAGATGGACACGGGCAGGGATGGACATGGACACGGGCAGGGATGGACATGGACATGGGCAGGGATGGACACAGAGGGACACGGGCAGGGATGGACACAGATGGACACGGACATGGGCAGGGATGGACACAGATGGACACGGGCAGGGATGGACACAGAGGGACACGGGCAGGGATGGATACAGATGGACACGGGCAGGGATGGACACAGAGGGACATGGGCAGGGATGGACACAGATGGACACGGACATGGGCAGGGATGGACACAGATGGACACGGACACGGGCAGGGATGGACACAGACAGACACGGGCAGGGATGGACACAGATGGACACGGGCAGGGATGGACACAGACGGACACGGGCAGGGACTCTGGTCCTCCCCCAGGCACCAGCCAGAAGGGAAAGGGAAAAGTCATCCCTGGGACACCAGGGCAGGGCAGCACCACAATTCCTCACTCACATCCCAGGTGGAAACCGGTGGGAACTGAGCTCAGATCACAGCAGGGGATTTGGGGTTGTTTCCCCTCCCATTTCCTTTTTAATTCATGGCATTAATTCTTGACTGCTTGTAAGGCAGAGGGACCCAGAAATGTGAAGTGGCCCCTGAAGCCTCTCCTCTAGAATTACTATTATTATGTTGCTATATTGCATTTAGAATTGCTGTATCTCTGCAGCCATGTAGCAGTGAATTACAGTAGGAAATAACACATGATGGTTTGGGAACCAGGAAAGAATAATCAGTTTTATTCACCTGGCTCTGCTCCCACCAGAGCTGAACATGTGTCAAGGCTGACAGAGGAGCACAGAGGCCAGCACTGTGCAGCTTAAAAAAAACACCTTTCCCCTTTGTACATTTAATATTATTTTAATTTTACATAGGATTTTCCTGAACCCACATTTCAGAATTTTGAAACTTCGCACAACACTGACATCTCTCCCCAAAAATGTCATGCCCTGTTTGGGCTAGTAGGAGCCACACACACCCACAATAATTAAAACCAAAACATCCAGTCCAGAGCAATGCATCTGGAAACAGCCTGTGAAGCACACCAGTTTTTTATCAACCCAACAGTGTGTTCCTGGTGCTGACAGAGGGAAAAAACCAACTGTGGATCTCTTGAGGTAACATGAGTAAGGCAATAGGGGCCCAGCAAATCCATGCCTCGTGGTGGAGGCACACACCTACTTTTATATTTTTCACCTTTTTTTCATAGAGGCCTTGAACAGACCAGGACTTGCCCTGGAAGCAGGGGAGGGCATGAAGTGCCTGGCTGGATTATGTAGAGGTTCAAGCTATGTGCCAGCTGAGAGCCTGGGAGAGCAGAAGATGCAAACAAACCCCATACTGTGAATTTACAGCACAAACACTGGAAAAAAAAAAAACAAACAAAAAACCAAAAACATTGTTAGCAAGTTCCCTAATGATTTCTGAAGAATACATCATTAATACTTAAGAAATAGTTTGGCTTTACTACTGGTCTGTGGTCGATTTTGTGAGAAACTCAGCTGCTGAAACAGTTGGGGTGCCAAGGATCATCCGTAAATCACCCCCTATTTTCACCCCTAATATAATTATCTAACAACTGAAGTGCTGTTGTGGTTTCATTGCTGATGCTGGGGAGTGTTAACTCGGGTGCAGCTCACACCAATCCATGCGCCCCTGCTCAGGGGCTGCAGCAGATGGAGTTTGTTGTGGGAGCTGCTGGACAGGGCCAGACAAAGGTCACCCTGTCTTATGGAAGGGCCTTTCTGATTGCCACAATAATCCAGAAGGAAATTTATTTGAAGCCAGGTTTCTGTGTGCAGGGTGTAATTTGTTAGCGGTGAAAGGAGCCAGGACAGAAGTGGGAGCTGAGCTGCTCTCACAAATGCTGTGTGCAGAATCAGGGGCTGGAGGGGCTGTGCAAGGACACAGATCAGCGTCTGTCTCTCCTGCTGCCAAAGTCAGAGCTCTGCTCAATCAGAGCAGCAAGAGCCACTGGACACAATGTCCTACACCACAGGCTGGCTTGTCCCGGTGTAATGCAGTTCCTGGGTCTGCAATTCCTGGGATTCAGGACACAGCTGATCCCCAGGGGTTACCCTGACCTCGCCCCGAGAATTCCTCCTGACTGCGGATGCTCAATATCCCCTTACACTGCGCAGCCACCGAGGGCTCAGGCCGGGCAAAAATCCCTTTTTGAGGGGATCCAAGCCCTGCATCCACAGGGCTGGGAGGTAAATCTGGCACTTGGCAGTGGCCAAGGGGACGAGCAGCACGGAGCAGTCATCCCACACTTGTGACTCCTCCAGAGAAAGGCTCCTCAAGGTGATAATGCATCCTCACTAAATAAAGAGCTCAACGAGGCCCAACCAGCCTGCCAAAAATAACCCCAGCTATTTTTAAGTTATTAAAGTTGCTCTTCACAGGACATCCACTACAGAGTAGAGGAAAGGCTGTCTATAATTAGCAGTGTGTTTTCTGGCTAAAGAGGGGAGAAAAGGTTTTCCCTTTGGAAAAGCAGGAATCTCCAAAATCCAAAAAGTAGCCCTTTTTTTTTTTTTTTTTAATTTCTTTTTCCCCCAGCTACATTGCAGACACAAGTGAATCAATTCTGATATGGTGATTGTCAGGGGGATCAAAGCAGTAATGGCCAGAAAACCACAGCTGAACAGGTATCACAACCACAGAGTTTGCTCTGGACACCTCCTCTCATTCCACCATGGTGATGCAGCATTTCTTTGTCATGGAAACCCAGGGAGGAATGGTTAAGAAAGTAAAAAGATGCTCTTTTTTCAGATGGTTTTTCCTTTGGATATGAAATTTTTACAAAAAAAAAAAAAAAAAAAAAAGGAATAAACCAAGTATTAGTCTTTCAAACAGAGTATGAGTTACTGCTAAGACTTTGTGTGTCTTCTCTGTTTTGGCAAAGTTCTGGCCTTGCTCTGCATAAAACATATCAATAATCTAGATGTCATTTGTGCATATTGTCCCCAATGCTATAGACACAGAACTTCCAGGCAGGGTAGAGTGAGAGAAGATAAGTTTTTATCAGTAATTCTGTTGGTGTTCCTAGCCCACCCACCCAATCCAGAATGTAGTGCCACCTCTGAGAAAACAAACCTGAAGAGATTTCTGCTGCCTCTGCATTTACCAACCCCCCTGCACAGAGCTGTGTCCAGCAGCCAGGAGCTGAACAAGCACCACTCACTGCTTCAGTGCTCTTTGAAACTGGAAACTTCAAGCAAAAATCTGGTCTTTTCAAATTTCACTTCTTTTAAGGATATGCAGGACTAGGGCTAGAATACTGGAATGCAACTCCCAAGGCGTGATTCAGTCTTCACAATTCTTATTCACTACCTCTGCATGATCAGACAAGACTGATTTCTTCACAGAGCTGAGGATTTTGAACAGCCTCTAACCATGAGCTTCCCCTGTTTCCTTTGTGGGCAGCACCACGGAGGGCTGGGGGCTCTCAGATTTATTTGGAGATTCCAGGATGGCTTCCCACTGCCACAGGGCAGGGCTGGGTGGGATATTGGGAATCAGGAATTGTTCCCTGGCACAGCTGTGGCTGCCCCTGGATCCCTGGCAGTGCCCAAGGCCAGGCTGGACACTGGGGCTGGAGCAGCTGGGATGGTGGGAGATGTCCCTGCCATGGCAGGGGTGGGATGAGATGGGATTTAAGGTCCCTCCCAGCCCAAACCAGTCTGTGATCCTACAATGATGACCTTAAAATAAAGCTGTAAATCAGCCAGCTGCTTGGCATAAGTAAAATGAATGATTTAAAGTGTTGGGAAAACGACTTGAAATTAAGTTATGCGGCAGCACTTACAAACAAGGCTGCTTGGGAAGTATTATAATTTGTTTTCTTCCACTGACACTAGCCGACAACTTCAAGGGTAAGCTGCTCTGTCAGTTAATTTCAGTTTTTATGTGAAGCACCAAAAATGTAATCAGAGTGGAGAAGATGTGGCCACAAGGTCACAAAGCACTGAATAGAAGCTGATTATGTCACTTGCTGTATCTCCTTCTTACACAGACCTGCAGTGCCATTGCTGTTTGCTTATATAAAATGTTAATTCTTTAAACAAATTTAGGAGGAATCTTTTTGTTTTAATGAAATTACTGAGCTCAACAGGGAAAAGCTGTAACCAGTGATTAAAGCATGTAACACCAGTGGAGACCTGGCTTTGAACTCTCAACCTCTGCCACTGATTTTTCTTCAATTTGCCACTAATTTTATCTCCATATGGCTTGTTTTCCTAGCACAAGGGGAGGGACAGGGCCTACTTCCAAACCACTTTTTCTGTGTGCAAAATCTGCCTTTGCTGTTCTTTTAGACCCAGGGCAGGACACCAGCCCAGAGAAAGCAAGGGATATATGAGACACAAGTCCAAACCCAGTGTCAGTTATTACCAGTGATGCCCATGGCAGCTGCAATGCATCGTGAGTGAAAAAGAAGAGTAAAATGCAGTAATTCAAACCACTCTTTCCCATTACTGACCCAAATTTTCCACCTATTTTTTCCCTCTTTAATGACTGGTTTTTCTAAGACACTCGGTAATCCAAAAGTGTCATGCTGTTCTTTTAAAAGTTTTAAAGTTCTTCTAGAAGTTTTCTATGCCTTCTGATGTTTACATATTTCTATTTCTCACGCAAGTCCATGTAAGTAATGATTATTTTGCATTCTTCTTTGTGGGAAGAGAGAATTGATGGGCTGTTGGTTTGACCAGTGTGGTTGGAGAGGTGGCAATTTCATCCTCCAATCCACTGTCACTTTTGAAATTCTGTATATTGTGAGGTCAGAAATAAAAGTTACTTCCTTTTGCTCTTTTAATCTTAGTGTGAGTGTGTAAGTTATTTCATGTTGTAGTGAGGCAGAAGGAGCGCATTGGATTTTTCATGACGAGGACTAAAATAATAAATTCCAGTGAGGACTCTTGAAGCTCAGGAAAGAAAAGGATGTTTATTAGCACCCAGGCACAACACCTTGCCTGGTATGCCTTACTAACAATACAAAGCAATAACCTCGGGTCAGAAGAGCAGTTGCAATACATGCAAAAACATCTGGATTGTGCACTAAGCAACATGTTCAATATGGAACAATCTGTCAAATAAACAAACATCTACTGCCCTAGGTAACAGAACTTCAGAGACTACCTCAGGTACAACAGAACAACCATCACTGAGCAGCATCTTGGACATGAAGCATCCTAGACAGAGACATTTGACCTTTGGAGGCAGAAACTGTAACAGGCAAAGAGCTGAGAGCCAGATCCCCAAAGACTTATGAAAAGCTCTCGGTGAAGCCTAAGGTATTATCAGAATGAGGTCTGAAGGGTTTTGCCCTTGGTGAGTGAAATTATGAGTGAGTAAAATTGTCACGATGGGTGAGAGTTTTAAATCATCAGGGTTTAGTGTTGTTGCTAGGAGTGAAAGGATGAAAAGACTGAGTGTTGATACAAACAAAACAATGTCTTTGTAAAACCCTTAAAATAAAATAAATAATACACATGAAGGAAAAGTTGGGATAATTAACATGTTCTGAAATCAAAATCAACACGGTTTAAATTAATAAATAATTAAAATAATTAATAATTTTTATCCTACAGAACAATAATCAGTATCAAAAACCAGGAGAGCAGAAAGAGGACGGGGAGCTCCTCCTCACGCTGACATCGGGGCGATGGGTGCCGGCTGTCCCCTGTCACCGCGAAGCCACCAGAGGGAAGGGGCAGGAGGAACACACGCTGCCGCTGTGAACTCCACGGGCTGTCACGGACACGAGGAGCGCCGGGGGTCGGTCACACCAGCGGGTGCTGGGTCTGGGCTGGGGTGAAGGCAACTGGGACGCGGTGTCAGTGCGCACCGCGCCCACCTGGGCTGCGGGCTCCGGCGGCTCACAACGCTTCGTATCCCCGTGGAGGCCGGGCTGCGGGCTCGGAAGGCAAGAGGAGAGGCGCTGGGACCCTTCTCCATCCAGGCATCCATCTCCGCGGGGCTCCTGCCGCCCCGGCGGTCCGCGATGCTCCCGCGGCAGGACCGGGATTGCGGGACAGCGAGAGCCCGAGCAGAGCCCGAGCAGAGCCCGAGCAGAGCCCGAGGCACAGCCCGAGGCAGAGTGAGTCCTCAGCAGCCCCCAGCACCGCGGGCAGGAGCGGGAGTGATGAGCGAGATGTGCCGCTCCGGCGCTGCGCCGAGCCGGGACAGCGCTGCACTGAACTGGTCGCACTGGGAGCGGGCAGAGCCTGGCACAGAGCGGGCACTGCTGCCCCAGACTGCTGCCCCAGCCCGGAGACAGCAGGGCTGCAGCACAGCACCTCGCAGGCACAGCGCTCCGCCCGCAGCCCAGCTGCCAGGGGCTGCAGAACAGCTGTTTCCAGCTGTTTCCAGCTGTTTCCAGCTGTTTCCAGCTGTTTCCAGCTGTGCTCGCCCCGGCAAGGGCTGCGGTGCGTCCCCACTTTTCACTGTGCTTTAACAAAAGCATTGTATCCCCAAGCAAGAACATCAACATCAAGCCATCACCAAGTCAAACAGTATTGTGAACATAACAATTATCGAACAATTTTCTTTTTGCTGCTGCTGCTGCTACGAACAAAGATCAAGCTTCCCACTGTCCCGATTCTGACACGAAGTGGCCACTGGGGCAAGAGGCAACCTTTGGCATGTGAGCAGGACGTGCTTTTTTCCCCAGGGGGCTGAACCAGCACATTTCCAGCGATTCCAAAGCTCAGCCCCGGGCACGGCCCAGGCTGAGCCCGTGTCCTCCCCTGCCACACGAGCACAGCCCTGAAATGCCAAATGCACGAGTGAAGCACACAGCGAGGAGCTCCGACAGCAGCACGACGAGGAGCTGTACCCTGTATCCCTAACAACATCGAGGAGATTTGGTAAAACGGGGTACAGGCAGAGAAAGCAGCACTTTTAGCATACAACAGAGATGCCCATTCACACTGACGGCTGTTACACGTTTTCTTTGTTAACAAGGAAACAATAAAACCAACGTAAAAAATCACTTTCTGGACCACTTTTCCCCTGTTGCTCCATTACTTCAAAGTGTTTTATGAAACTAGCTGCTTTTGTACAGAAAATACACAGTCAGTTGGTTTTGTGGTCCACATAAACCATGCTCTTTTTTTTTTTTTTTTTTTCTCCTCATATCATGCATTGGGATGCAATCAGCTTCTTGTCAATCATTAGTCAAAAGAAACGAACACATTTTTTACTACAAAAAGCTTCTATAAGTAACATTTCTACAGCAACCATTAGCCAGAACTATTTGAAGTGTCCCTAGCATGTCCTTCTCTCCTGCTGTCTGCTTTTCTAATGGAGGAATTCTCCAGTCTGTGTGACACCTCCCCATGCAGTTATTTACAAGGAGGTGGTCCTTGTGGAGAAGGACCTTAATGAAATTTACAGTTGCTAAGGTACATTTGTAGATGCTGGCGCTCACACAGAACAAATGGAACGCGTTGTGCAGCTCTGGGCTGGGCCAGCAATGTAATTAAAGTGCAAATAAAGACAAAAACCACAAGCCAGGCAGGTCCATTTTTCATCGCCAGTGTTCAGAAGCATCACGACTGTGTAAGATATGTCAGATCAAATAGGCCTAAGTCACAATCTATTTGAAACATCTGTCTCCCTGAGAGGATTTAAGGGAGGTATACGGTGATATAGCCCTATTTCTTCAACTGGCTGAGTATCATTGGAAAAGTAAGGACACTTTTCCAGCCAATTTTTGTTTTCAACAGTGCTAACACCTGTGTTTTATACTATGATGCCCTTTACAGCATTTGAGCTCGCTTCCCATGCAGCTACAACAGGCCACTCTTGAGGAAAATACAACTACTGTAGAAATGACATCTGTCTACCTGGTACGCCACAAAAGCAGAGGCTCTGAAAACATTTACAAACAGCACATTTTCTCAAACAAAAGCAAGTGATAATTACCAGCTCAGATAAAAATACGTACTTTGTGTTTGCTGGCATTCAACGTTTGCCACTGACACGTTCAGTTCTACACCCAAGTCAATGCCAAATGGCCGAACAAAGGAAAAAAAAATATAATTAAAGACTTTAAGACTTTTTCAAACCACCGATTTTCACGTAAAACGAAATGGTCACTGCAGCTCCAAGTGCTCATTGCTGGTCACCACCTGCTGCCAGACAGAGATGTATTTCTTTCCACAGTGTGTCCAGAATGTGCTCTGCAGCCTGACCTGTCAGAGAAGCTGCAGGAGGTGCAGGAAAATGAAGTGCATCTTCCAGGGCTGTGTGCAACATGACTCTCCATCCCCTGCACCACTCCTCTGGTCCCTCACCCTCCCACCTGGCAACTATTTACAACTATTCCACCAGTCCATTTCTCTCCATGCCGTAAATACTCTCACTGATGAAAAACATATTTACAAATTGTTTTTGTAGATACAATCAGTCGCCTTAGAAAAGGCTGACAAGACATTTAAAGAAGAAAATGCTTTGTAAGGAGTAGCATTAAATGTACAGCAGGTGTTTCAAACAACTGCAGATCTGAAGTTACTAGATGCTGTCTTAGTATCACTCCAGAGTGGTAGACGAGTGCTAAAATCCTGCATTTTCAATGAAATTAACACAATGAGAACACCACAACCATTACTGCCTCAGTGAACACATAGTTAGCCATCAACCCAGCCACCTCACCTTGCTTATTTATCCCAACAGACCTATTATCCCCATTTAAACCTGTACCCTTGATTTGCCACGTGAGATGGCTGCAGTGAGTGCCTGTTCACAGGAAAGCCTCCTGTTTTCCAGGAACTCATGGTCCCTAATGATCCCAAGTATCAAACATGACCTTTGCAAAGCAGAAATGGCTTAAGCCGGGCAGGAAGGGTCTTCGCCTTTCACCTCCAACACTCGTTTGTGTTGCCCGAGAGGGAAAGGCTGCGAGACTCTTGGATCTCTTGTTGGAAAGGAGAGCTGGCACTCTTCTCAGAGTTTCTCTGGCTGTCCTTAGGGGGTGGCAGGCGTGGTTCCACTGTCCCAGAGCTGTCTGCAGGCCCGGGCAGGGCTCAGGCGGGGAGCCGGGGCTCGATCTTCAGGGACAGCTCGTACAGGGTGTCCTCGTCGATGATGAGGGTCTTGTCCAGCAGGTAGTGAGTGACCTGGAGGGGGGAACACAGATGGACAGGCTGCATGTAACTGCCACAGAAATCTCCCAGCTTTCCTTCTCTTTCAGCGTATTTCTGGTCCTGAGATTGCCTTGTGTGGTTTGCTGCTGGCAATGAAGATGCACCTGCAGCCCTCTGACAATTAGCTGGGATTAATTCCTCTTAGGAATGGGCAAATCCTTTACCAGGTTACCTCAGCCCAAACTGCTCTTCTGGAGCCTGAGATGTGCCTTCTCTGAAGGCACTGACCAGCTTTGGTCACAGCTGCCTCCCTCCTGAGAGGGGCGAAGGGACAAGGAACTGCAGGATGCCCCAGCGGGTGCTTGGGGCACCTCCTGACCCTCATCCCAGGATCTCAGGGCGGGGAGAACACACCTCCCTCTGAACCCCTCACACCCTCCAAGACTGCAGTCCCCAGAGACCTTTCAAAGGAGCAGAACACTTCTTGACAAGGCATCAAACGAAGAGTCCTGCGGGGTGAGGGTCTCACCGCCCCAGGACCTGTCCGTGTGTCTGTCTGTCCTCTCCTCCACGCGTGGGAGCAGCAGACACCAGATTCAGCTTTCAGTGGCAGCTGTGCCTCACAAGCCACTGCTGCCACAGCCTGATTTCAGAGCGGGCTCACCTTCTGCTGGTGCTCGATGCGGTAGGAGGTCTGCTGGAACTGGCGGATTTCCCTGATGATATGGGAGATCTTTCAAAAGAACACATGGGTGCAAGCTCAAACACGGTTCTGCTTCAGCTAAGCCACACAAAACAAGGATTCCACGCCAAATTATTCCATTCAACTTATATATATATAAATATGTAACTTCAACTTATCTGTATAAAATACAGAAGTTCATTATAGGAAGCTTGTGTGTTTATTTACTTGTAGAACTGGTAGGGATCACTGCCTGTCACAACTACATCCACAACACTTCACTTCTGATGAGACCTTGTGTCTGTCAGCCTCTGCTAACTCCTCCTCTCCCAGGAGGAGGGAAGGGAAGGTAGAGATCACTTCCCAACAGCTCCCCAGGACTTCACTTTCCCAAATCAAACATTCAGTCCTCAGCCAGCCCCGAGTGAGCCACCACTCTGCCCGCAATGAGACCTCCCCATCCTCTGCCTCGAGTGACTGCTGCAGAGCATAGCCCTAAAATGGGCATTAAGCTGAGATTAGAGGAGAAATTTCCATGCCTCCCTCCTAGGAGCTGTTACTGAACAGCATTACAGTGCTTTTCAGACAGACCAGAGCACACTTTGAGAAGAACACTGTGATCACTGCTTCCTGCTGAACCACTGCACTCCTGTAATTCTGGTTATTTTAAAAATATTCTTCTTGCTCATCCACGAGGCTCAGGCAGCTGCTTTTGCTGTCCTTTTCTGAGAAAGTGAGCTGGGGAAAATGAAGCCCGTGGAAATACCCAGCCTGCCTGAAGGTGGGGATAGAAGACTGCCTCGAGAAATCGCTCTCCCAGCGCTGCCTCTCCAAAGGTAAATTCAGAGATGTCTCAATGAAATCAGTAATTAACTCACGCACTTGAACACCTGCTGGCGAATGTAGGAAACTGAAAATTACCATTCTCATTTTGGAGAAATTGACAAGGCCTTCCTCAGTGAAGTTGGGTGTTCCTTCCTCGATGAACGCCAGGTCAGTCAGGTACATGCCGAGGTAGGGAACAGCAGGTGGGTTACAGCTGTAAACCAACACAGCAGCTTATTTGCCTGCAGCTACATTTGCAAATGCATTTTTCTCTAACTTGCACACACTCTTTATTACTCTGCCCAGTTCTAATCCATGGGTGGCATTCCTCTCCAGGACAAACAGCTCCTCTGGATCTGCCTGAGCTGTGTTTGCTCTGCCTGTGATAGACTGAATACATTCTGCCCAATATCTAATATTAACAGCATTTTAAAAATATACCATTAATTATTCTGGCTGTTCAGTTCTCAGCTCCTCTCAAGATCACTTGAAGTAGTTGTGCCACTCGATTCTGAAAAGCCTGCTTCCAATGACAAAACTCACAAAAATTCAGGTTTTTGTACGGCTGAAATCAGTTTTACATACATTGTAGAACACTTGACATGGAATATTCTGGATGCCAAAATTACAGAATGTCAAACGCAATCTGGCAAATCCATTAAAGAAAACAATATCCAAGGACTGCTGCACAAAAGCAGCAGGCTGTTTCGCAGCAGGCTGGGAAGCCACAGGAGAAGAAATATCCCTGTGCCTTTGGCCTGTCTCTATATTACTCTTATAATTTTTGTCAGAAACATAATTTATTGTCATATGAATGGGTCTGTGACCTGACACAAGCTTAGTCCCAAACCTTAAAATTCTTAACTAGAACAATCCTGTTTTTCATAAAAGCTTCAGTTTATAAAGCTGGTTTCACACTTATTGAAAAAGTTTATCAGTGTAAGTGAAACCCAACAGGGAATGCTCTCACAGAAAAATAGTTTAATTTGTTTCAGTAATTCTCTGGAGCTACTATGTTTACCCATCACGGGTATTAAATCACAGCATATGCAGCAAAACAATAATGCCAAACAGAACCAACTTAGAATTTAAAAGGCTATTAGGCAAAAAAAAAAAAAAAAAATTACTTAATTATTAAAGTTTAATCACAGCCAATTAATCTTCAACATGAATTATCCACTGCTTGTAACAAAACACCGTTGTATACTGTAGGGAAGCTTACTTTTTGAGCATTTCCCTCAGGTTTTTAAATCTTCCCTCAGATGACACAGTCTTCTGAAGTTTGTCCATGAGTGCTTTTGTCTAGGAAGAAAATGCATTGCAAATGTCATTGCTGGTGCACGTAAATGACTGGAATTAGATTCTATCAAAGGTGTAATTCACTTATCCCCACCCCATTTTCAAGAGTAGCACAACAGGCATTACTGAATTAGGAATTTAGCTTGACTGCAGTTCCTCCTGTCTTTCTGCAAAGGGGATCAGGCAGCATTTCAGTTTCCCTATGAGTAACACACAGAACCTGTATTTATGCTGATACTACCCTGCAAATGGAGGAAAACCCACACATTTATTGCATTAATGGTCTGGAATTCAGTTTGCTGGGCAGACAAGAACACAGCAGACCCTACAGGTTGCTGAGAACCCTCAGCTGCATTTGCTGTGACAGCGAGGGGTGGTCACTGCCTTGGAGCTTGCACTGAGCTGATTTCACCTCCAAGCTCCAGAGAAAAGCTGAGTATGTAAATGGGAATATATTCATGTCTTACACAAATCACTGTCAGTGGAATCACCAGACCCTGGCTCTTCCTTAAGTGAAATAAATTTGATTTTCAGCCTGTTAATGCCACTGATTGAGACCTGAGTGTAGGGAATGATGAGAAATTCATCCTATTTGAAACTGAATTTCCAGTTAAGAGAGAGCTCTGTAGGCAGACAGAGCAGGCTGATGAAAAACCCAGATTGCATTCCCAATAGGTACCAGAGGACAGTGCCACAACACCAATCTGCTGCGGGCTTGGCCTCTTCTTTTTCAATTGAAAAGTTCAAAAATCAAACTAATTCTATCCATAAAACGTTTTGGAGGTAAGCTCACTTAGAGCAGTTTGTACTGAAAGAATTTTTAACAGATTTTTAAACAGAAGGACGTAGCACCAACTGTGAAGCAGCTGTGAAAAATCTGACTGGAGAAGGTGGAAATTGTATTTCTCTGAAATATTTAGAACACAGAACATAAAAGACTGGATTATCTTCATTCTGACAGGCCCTTTTTCCATGTGTGTGTCTTGTTTTTGTGGCTGGCAGTCATTCTCATAGTTTTTGCTGACATTCTCAGCAGCCAGTTAGGGTTTAAGGGAGGTGTTCACTGCACCTAAACCTGAGCTCTTCAATGAAAAAGACTTTTTATCAACAGCCTACTTCTGGGTAGAAAAACTCGGGAATTTGAGAGGTTCTGACCTTCCTAAAGGCTTTCTTCACAGGTAATTCGTATTTTAGGCACATGACCAGACTTTAACTGTAGCTTGTAACCACCCAGATGTGTCTACCAGAAAATGCCTAAATTTAGTTTACTTGAACGTTTCAGCCATTCAGACCACATAACCTCTGGCTCCTGCCAATTACCCTGAAAACATTTTGTTTCCACAGATTAAAAAAACTACATGCAAAACTCCTTGACAGAAAATGCCAGTCCAACTATTCAATGCCTTAATGAAGGGATGAGACTACTGCCAGGCTAAAAATGATTTATTGCTCAGGTAAACACCAGCCTCAGAGGCTGTGGGATTTTAAAGGAGCAAGCAGTCAGCCACAGCTCAAGGTAGTCACAAGTTCTTCATTACAAGGCAATATATAACATTCTAATCCAATGGGAAGTTGCCACAGGGTTTATTTTGCTTTTCTAACCTATCACCTTTACTTAATTGTGCTGCACTGCAGGCACATTTTCCCAATGGGCTACTATCACATGTACACACATATACTTCTGTCATAATAACTAAACTCTTAGCTTACTCTATATAATAACATTACTACACTATTAAACCCTTCACCATCTTACCTAATACAGTTTCTTACTTACTTACGGCATATTCTTACTTAAATCTATAGAGACATAGGTTTATAATTTTTCTGATTAATGTCCGTGTACTTTTATTTTTACATCAATTCAAGCTTCTTCCAAGGCTGCAAATCAAACTATCCCATGTCTGTGGAAGCTCCTGTCTTTCCATTTTCTACATCCCAGGTAGAAAAGCAGAAATATTCACAGGAGGGGCTCCTGTCTTGTGGGAGTCCAGGGCATCCCTCTGGCTGCCCTGGCAGGTCTGGGACCCTGGCAGGGGTCAGGAACCCCCCTGGACAGAGCCCCCAGAGACACTGTCTGTGATCTCTGTCCATGGAAAAGAGTTTTCAATCTTACAGGATGAATTACAAGCTCTGAGTGTTTGATATCAGTAATAATTAGTGTGGCACGGGTGCTAAAGTAAAATTTTAGGTTTCTAGATAAGGGGTCCAAAGGGGACAAGATGGAGGAAATTGGGTGTGCCTTGTCCTTTTTCTCCTTCTTCTTGCCCTCCATGTTTCACTGTGGTGTTGGCATTTTTCTGTTGGTTCAGGCTGGGGACACACTGTCCAACGTAGGTGACAGATATTGGCACGTTATTGTAAATCCAGCACAGGTAGTTTGTGGTATTTAATGTTTGTAACATCACACTGAGGGGTGTTACATTGATTGGCACATTATTGTAAGTATAGCACAGGTAGTTTCTGGTATTTAATGTTTGTAACACTATGTACCAGATATAATGTTTGTAACATTATATACCATAAACTGGGGACTGGGTTTAGGCTGGGGACACACTGTCCAACGTAGGTGACAGATATTGGCACATTATTGTAAATCCAGCACAGGTAGTTTGTGGTATTTAATGTTTGTACCATCCCACTGAGGGCAGAGCCCCACACGCTGCCCTGCAGGACAGAGCTGCAGCAGAGCAGCAGAACATGTTAGAGATAAACAGAATAAACAACCTTGGAACAGCACAGACCAATTATGGCTTCTGCTTTGGCAGGGGGCTGACAGACAGAGACTTTCTACAATCTCTGGACCATTTAAATACCACAGACTCCGACACTGTCTCACCTCCGGCCGATGGACTATAGAACTGCCCACCGCGGTCGTGTCCCCTCACCTGTTTGGACACCTTTGCCCAGGTTTTCTTGAGCCGGTAGACAGCACTCCTGTTGAGGGCCGAGGTGATCTCCAGCACGCCGTTGTAGTTGTGCAGGCAGCGGCAGATGTCGGCCACCGCCACCCACTTCTCGATGGCGCCGGCCCGCGAGGCCACGTCGGCGTAGCTCATGATCTGCGAGGCCACCAGGTTGCTCATCTGGCCACGGAGAGAGGCAGGGGCTCAGGGAGCTGGAGCACAATCCCTGCTAACGTGTCCCGAGTTAACGGGCAAGGCAGGAAAACCCCCAGCTAGGCATGGAATGATGGCTCCTGGAACACAGACCCTGTGAGGAACCCCTGAGGGGGCTGGGGGTGTCAGCCTGGAGAAAAGGAGACTCAGGGCTGACCTCAGCACTCTCTGAATGCCCTGAAAGGTGCCTGTGGCCAGCTGGGGTTGGGCTCTTTCTCCAGGAACTGACAGAACCAAGAGCTGCACCAAGGGAAATTTATGTTGGATATCAGGAAAAAGTTTTTCAAAGGGTGATAAAGTTCTGGAATATTCTGCCCATGGAGGTGGTGGAGTCACCATCCCTGGATGTGTTTAACACAGCCTGGATGTACCAGGGTTCAGCTGAGGTGTTAGGGATGGGTTGGACTCCATGATCTTGAAGATCTCTTCCAACCCAGTCATGCTGTGATTCTGTGATTCATAAACCCAGGGAAAGGACATTGGAAACAGAGCTCAGGGCAGGTGGAAGGGATAGGGACAGGAAAGAAAGGTTGAGGATGCAATGGGAAGGTTTCCAAGCCACCAGTCATGAACCTCATTGAGAAGTCTCCCAGTAAAATTCAAGAAAAATGATAAAGGAGAAAGACACATAGGGATACAAAGGCATTAAATGGGATTGGTGTTACATTTCTCTGGAGAAATTAAAAGTTTCTTCAGTAGGCTGAAAGGCACTGTGCTATAGTTTAAAATGTTCTACTCTGTTAAATTGCCACTGAAATGCTGAGTACCAATTATTGAAAATTAGAATCTTCACTGCTTTGATTTAAATTGTTAATTACAAAGAGGCTGCAGCATTCAGTCACTAACAGATAACACATCACATCACAACACAACCCAGTATTTCTGTTCCAGAGGTCAGAGGCAGTCCAGGGGGCTCCTAGAAAGCAAGTCTGTATTTGTGAGTACTTACATCATTGAAATGTTGACTGGTTTTCATAATATAGGGTGTTCTCTCATTTTTATCCACTTTCATCCAGCCCTGCCCAAGGAACTCTCTAGACATAGGGAAAAAAGCAAACAAAATCTTCACAAATGCAGTACAGAGTCTGTCTGCAACCACAGCCTAAGCAGATTTCAAGGATACCTCAATTTGCTGGAAGCTAATAACACAGCTTTACACTAATTCCAGCATCTCACTATACCATTTTTAATGTTGACTGAAATGCTAAATAGTGTAAAGAAGATTTATTTTTCCCTTAATCCCCTCTCCCCTGTCACCTCACCCTGATTTCCAGCGCTGTGGCTCTATTTACAGCACGTTACCCTGATCTGTGTGTAAACTCTGTGCCAGGGGTTGAGTTGGGGCAGTGGTGGCCACCCCAGCCTGTGGCCACTGGCCCACCAAGGGACCTTCTGTGGCAGGACTGTCCTCCCCTCTCTGCCACTGACAGCGGGTGCAGACATCAAGGACAGCCCAGGCTGAGGGCCCAAAGGGGTCATCTCCAGCACCAAAAGGGCTCAGGCCCCAGCCAAGACCAACAGCTCAGCCTGGAGAGCAGATGTGGGAAGAGATAAACGAAATTTTCTTGACTGTTCCACAAGCTGTGAAAGTCACACGAGTCACCACAGAGGCAGAAGTGTCCTACGCCCTGAAAGTGTTTGAGACTTTTCCCTGGAGTCTGGACACAGATTCCACGGATGCTTCCCTGGGGATTGAGGGAAAGGATCTCAACGTGTGCCCCAACAACAACTGGATGGCAAGATCCACTGAATCCTAGGCTGTATCATTCTTCACTCGCTATAACATCAACGGGTGCCTTTAACCTCATGCTGTATATATCTATTAGTTTTCTTTTTCTCCTTATTCCTGTGTAGTATTACCTTAAGTCTTATGCCTGTTAGTTTTCTATTAAATAAATAATTCATTCTCTAATAGACCGAACCAGCCGTTATTAAAGAACTTGTGACCCAGAGTGGGTTTTGGGGTGCTGGCCACCTCAGTAAAGACCTGGGCAAAGGGCAGGGGGTTCCCAAACCCCACAGGCATGAGTAGCAGGCTCACTCGTAGGGGATGCTGCGGAACACGACGTGGTCCAGCAGGGTGATCTGCTCCGCCAGCTCCATGGCCGACAGCGTCTCGAAGCACTCGGGCTTGGGGCAGTCTGGCTGCAAAGCAAGGACAACTCTGAGGGGTCTCTCCGTGTGCCACAGGGCACGAGCAGCTGCCTGGGAACCCTCCGTGGGCTGTAATTAACTTCGGGAGAAATGAGAATTAACAACAAACACCCGTATGGAAATTCATCAAACAGGCACACACCAGCTCAGGAGTATGAATGTGGGTTAATTAAACTCTGCACTTGTAATTTTGTATATATTACTATCTTCCCCTTTTTTTAAATATTGAGATTTTATCCAAATACTAAAGTTTTTACGTATTCCTTTTACATATTCCAAATACTAAAGTTTTTACGTGTTCCTTTTTGATAGGGGCTCCAAAATCTTACAACCTCTAAACTGAAATGGACATTCCTGGTATAAAAAACACTACAAGAAGCACTATATAAATAAATAAATGGTGTGTATATATATATCCATCTAAAAAACAGTATATCTATCCAGAAATACAAGCTGCAGTTGTGTTACATTTTATTATCAAACACACAACATTTCTCTAGGAGTATTTAACTCTCAAGATGAACTTACCATCTGAATGATATCCTCTATTTTCAAATGGTTATCATCTTGATCATCCTGAGAAAGAGTCCTGAAAAATAAAGTAGCAGAACATCCTCTATAATTGTCCATGGTTGTGACAAAAGCTTATTGTAGATCAGCAAAATGGTTTATTTGAAATAAATCCTAAGTTTGAAATTGAGGAGGTAAAGAAAAAAAACTCTGTAGCCTAAAAAGTGATTTCTTGCTTTAAGTAAAAATTTATAAATTGCTACAGCATCAGAATCATGTCAGATAAACTATTTCCATGGAGGTTTAAGATATTTCAGCTAATGAATGCTGGAAATTGTCCTGCTCAGTGTCCCACACTGTGCTCGCTGTGTGGAAATGGACAGCAACAGCAAACTGCAGCTTTTCCTGGCAGCAAGGACAAAATTTCAGTAATGAAAGTATTATTGAATGAATTGAATAATTCTGCTACAGAAAACCTGTGATTATTGTGGTTATTTCAGAGTAATGGGTCAAAAATCAACTTGGCGAAAGTAATTATTGATCAAACATCTACCCTGACGTAGCACACTGGCACATAATTACAGGATCTTACCCCTTCACGTGGGAATTACAGACACAGAGACACCTGGGCAGCACTGGATTTATGTCATACAGGAGTGAGAAGGTTTAGGGAGAAGGAACACGGGTCAGAATGTAAAAGGCTGTCAGAAAGGACACAACACTGTGCCCAGCAGTCACCTTGCTGGTTCCCCTCAGCAGGTTGAACCTCAGGGTGCAGGTGAGGTACCCGGGGGAGTGGGAACGTGTCCCTGTTGATGGAGTAAACACCCTTTGTCCCCTTAAAAAGGACAAAGTTTCTCTCCTCAATTTGGTTAAAAGACACCTCATAGGACCTTGGGGACTTCACCTCAAACTTAAGGATAGCTAACTGGACAGGAGCAAAAAAGTCATGCCTATGCAATTCACTAGAAAAGAACAAAAGAAGGAATTGTTTTTGTTTAGCAGGAGCAAGAAGCTCTTGCCCTGACTTGGCTTTTCTCTGTAAAGAGCTTTTTTATTTTTGCCTTTTATTAAAACTTTTGGTTTCCAACATTGTCATAGGCACATGGTTTCTCAAGGTTGTTTATTTTCCCTTATCTGGAACATTCTCTGTCTGACCTGCTGAGCTCTGTCCAGCAGCTCGGCCATGGCATTCTGTCTGCCCTCAGGGTGGTGTTTGCATATTATACCAAAAACTACCTGTGCCATGTTTACAGTAACATGCCAATATCGATCATTTATGTTGGACAGTGTGTCTGTACCTTAAACCAACAGAAAAGTGTCACCTTAAACCAACAGGAAAGTGTCACCATCACAGCAAGGCATGGAGGGCAAGAAGGAGGAGAAGAAGGCTAAGACATGCCCAAATTCATCCATCTTGACCTCCTGAACTATATTCTAAAAACCCCAAAATTCTACTTTTTTCATAGGCACATAAGCACATCCTGCTTCTTTCATGCCACCTGAGGTAGCTGAGCTGTCAAGGGTATAACACTTGTGTCTGAGAGTTTGCAAGACCAGGCTTGAAAAGAGAAAAAGCACTAGGGGGGCCCTGCTCAGCTGAATTCCCCAGCACAGCTCAGGTGACCATCCCAAAGCTCTGCTGGTCGTTGGAGTCCAGGACTCCAGGACATCCCTCTGGCTGCCCTGGCTGGCTCCAGACCCTGGCATGAAGTCAAAAACACCTGTGGGTTCGCTTTTAGCCTGTGGGAGAAGATGTCAACTCTGTATGAGGAATTACAAGCCACAAGGGCTTTAGTAGTGTGATATTTGAATTAACACAGGGTGAAAAAAGCAGAATTTTGGGGGTTTTAGAATATAGTTCAGGAGGTCAAGATGGATGAATTTGGGCATGTCTTGGCCTTCTTCTCCTTCTTCTTGCCCTCCACGTCTTGCTGTGATGGTGACACTTTCCTATTGGTTTAAGGTGACACTTTTCTGTTGGTTTAAGGTACAGACACACTGTCCAACATAAATGGCAGATATTGGCACAGTATTATAAACATGGCACAGGTAGTTTTTGGTATAAAATGTGAACACCACCCTGAGGGCAGACAGAATGCCATGGCTGAGCTACTGGACAGAGCTCAGCAGGTCAGAGAGAGAATGTTCTAGATAAGGGAAAATAAACAACCTTGAGAAGCCGATCCTACAGATTTCAGACTCCTTCTTTGGGTGCATGGGCTGGGAGAACAAGGACTTTTACACTCTTGGGGTTTCAACAGGCTGGCCCCAAGAGCTGGTCAGGGAAAGTACAGGTTGGATATTAGGAAAAAATTTTTCACTGAAAGAATAATAAAGTACTGGAATTGTCTTCCCAGGGAGGTGGTGGAATCACCACCTCTGGATGTGTTTAAAAAAAGACTGGACACGGCACTTGGTGCTATGGTCTAGTGAGGTGTCAGGGCATGGGTTGGACTTGATGACCTTAGAGGTCTCTTCCAACCTCATTATTTTGTGTTCTGTGGTGATTCAGGAGCACAGCCAGGGTCTCTGCACTCCCTGCTGCTGCAGGCTCTGCCAGCTCCAGGAGGGGCCAGGGGAAGGCACCACTTGGCCTGCAGACCTCAGCTCTGGCTGTGAGACCTGGACTTGCACCAGGAGGTGTGCAGGAAGCTTTCATCCAGCACACCAGGTTCTTCTTGGTTTGCCCATCTGAGGGCTAGGCTAAAATTAAAAATTAAACACAGATACAGGATGGCAGAAACCTCCTTCCCTTAGTTTGCAGCCTTAAAAACCCATACAGAACACCTTCTATTTTTTCCCATAAGGACTGGAAACACCTTGTGCCTGCAGGGCAAGGTGTGTTTACCTCTCCAGGAGAACCCTAAGCTTCTTGCCTGGATAATAACCAGTGCAGCCTCAGTCCCTGTAAATAGCCTGGCAATCTGTCCTGCAGAGCAGCTTATTCTGTGCTGCTCCTCGTGCCTAGGGGCCTGCAGGAAGGTGGTGTTCATCCTGTGACAAGAGCCTCTGGCAATGACAACCACACAGGCCCCTGTCCCTCTGCCCCAGGAATTCTCATCAGTGTTGTAAAATCCATCACCCGAGTTACTTCCATATCACTTTATGTTGTGTTGTGTTTATGTTCTATCAGGATCTCACCTTTGATACAGAAATTGCTGTATTTGCTTAACAGGAAATATGAAACACAGGATTCTGAAATGAAAACAGTCAGCTTTCCCCCATCTTTGCCTCCTGATACTCTCTGCCATGACATCTCATGTTTTATATCATTCTAAAGAGATGCTTTTTTCCTACCACAGTGGTCTCCTAAGAAAACCCAAAACCAACTCTCCTTTTATGCCTAAATATTCTACAGTGAAATCTGCAAAGGGCAACGGATCTGTAGACTGGATAATGGCATTTTTCTGACAGCATCAACAACAGCTTCCACTTCAGTCTGTGCTGTTGTCAGCCTTGGGACACCCAGTTTCAACAGAGGAGTGGGGACACTCGCTGGGCTGCCCAGCCCTGCCTGACAGCTCCCACTGCATCCCTGGAGAGCTCCTGGGAGCTGGGAAGAAGCAGATCCTTATGGAAAGAGTCACGGGAGACAGCAAAGGCAAAGAGGGGCTCTCCTGAGCAGTGTCCTGCTGGGGACTGAACAGGGTGACTCCTCCAGTATCTCCAGAAATGAACAAATTAAATATAAAATAAATATACTTCTAAATCTTAGAATCACCAGTTAAGATGCTCTCTCTCTCTCTCTCACTATTCTTCATGCCTGACCAGGCCAAATATTAAAACAATTTTCTACTTGAAAATATTAAGCACGTGTCTCATCCTTTCTTTGTGGTACATAAAGCATATAAAAATATTTAAAAGCTAGGGCAAGTTAGAGAGCCTGAAATGTGTTGCTTGGTGAGATCATACAAGGCAGAAAAATTGTTCATCCATCACATTTGGCATCTGCACATCCCTCGATTTCATTTATGTTTAGTCTGAAGAAGAAGAAGAAGGAGGAAGAGCTGTTTCTGGAAGCAACCTGTTTTTCTTCAGATAGGATAATCTATCAAAGTTGTTCACTGCTGTTCAGTCTGAACTTACACCTTCCTGCTTTCTTATCAATTAAATTTTATATAGATTTCCAGGATTAATAAATCAGGCTGATAAAATCTCCAGCAAAACGTACATTGGGAGGTGTGCCTAGCTTTCAGAACAGATACTGAATTAAAATAAGCATTTTTACCCTGAAGAGAAACCCTGTCAGTCCACACAACAGAAATCCCATCAAGCAAGAAATACCAGCTGCTTTGTTTGATGACTCAGGGCATGAAGCAGCTCAGCATCTCCCAGCAACATTTTTTTTTGTCATTCATATTCTAAACAGAGCCTTTCCCAGAGCTGATAGTAATGGATCTTTGGGACACAAACCAACCTTTCCTGCTCCTCTGATCTCTGCTGACAAGGGGACAGATTTTCCAAGGATGTGCATGCATGCAAAGGCTGGGGCCGTTTGTAAAAAGATGTATTTTTACTCAATATCCTTCAGGGAGGCATAGAAAATACATGAGAAAGCATGAACTTTTTTTCATGAATGCTTGAAATTGAACTTTTTACAAAAAATTCTTGTCCTAAGCCCATTCTGCGTTTGTCAGCCTTTCAGACTCAAGAGTAGGCTACAGAAACTGAGATGTGGGGAAGGCAGGGCCTACAGTGACAGCTGACAGGCAACCCAGAATTCTGATAGAATACATGTTTTAGACAAAATGCCTGCAAGCACTTCTGCAGAACAACAAAAATTTACAGCACTCACTTAGCAAGTGGGTGAGTGACTATTTTTTAATGAAGGACACATCAACTGGATTAGTCCTTCTTCCCATTTTCAACCCATCCCAGAGAAACCTTTTGAATGAAAGTTTCACCAAATCTTCCCATTAGGACAGATCTGTGCTTGCCCATGAAAAGCACGCTGTCAGAAATCTTCAAACAAATTGGGTCTCTAACCACAGTAAGAAAAGCCCTTCAGCTCCAGGTAATTTGTATTTCCCCTCTAAGTGGTATGAGATGACAGGTCTCCATGCAGAAGGATGACATCTCTGCAAGGTGCAGGGCACAGGCTGAGCAGCTTTTCTCCAAGCCAGACCCTGGAACAGGAGCCAGGAGAGGAACACAAACCCTGGGACCACCTCTGCCCATTCTGCAAGGGGACAGACCAAGACACGAGTCCCTGCCTGGGTTCTGCCTGAATTCAGAGAATTTTGGTGGAGAGGAGAGGAATTTTGCATTCCCTGCCACCACGCTGTTCTGTGGTTTGGTGCTTCAGGTAAACACAGTGTCCCACCTGAGAGGAATGAGGGATTTGTCCTTACAAACCAGCTGTGGGTCTGCTGGTAGATAAAACCAGCACTGAGAGATAAAAGAGACAATGGGAAGGATTCCACTGGTGGATGAATGGAAAAAGATACTTGCTTTTACAAATAAACCTCAGGTTTGCTGATAAATGAAACTGGATATTGAGAGATGAAAGGAACAATTGGGAAAACCCTAAACTCCATAGGAATTAGAAGTTAAAAGGGAGGGTTATACATTAGAGGGAAATCTCTGGTATCAGGCGTTCTGGGAAGTCTGTACTGTTATAAATGAATTATATGAGCAGGAATTTATTCTAAATCATATATTACAGCACCTCTCAAATACCTTAGCCAACAGGGAAAGAGAGAAGGGAAATGTGGCTGGGAAATTGGGATAAAAAGGAGGCTGCATCCTCCAAAAATTGGAGAGACCCCAGGGGAATGCCCCATGGCCTCTCCCTTTATTCAAATACAGTACAAGGACTCCTCTGTCTCCTTTTTGGCCATAAACCTCTGGTGTTTGTGGGTTAATTTTCATAACACACCAGAGGGCTCCTTGCAAAATAGCCCTTAGAGCCTATGGAGGGTTGATGGAACTCAGGATATAATTTTTCCCACTGCAGGCTGTGACCTGATGTGGCAGAGAATCCCCAGTGTGATGCAGAAGAGGGAGGGACCGTGAGGGACGTGGAGCCCCTGCAGGGGGAATCAGCCCTGGCCCAGAGGTGAGCACTTGTGGGTCAGCAGGGGCTGGCTCCTGCAGCAAGCAGAGATCTCTGCAGACAGCAAACCAGTCCAGGGCAGGGCAGCTTCAGTCCTGGCCTGACCTACTGTGGAAAATGCATTTCTCGTGACTGGCTTTTGCAATAATAATTGCAAATATTATGGTGAATATTATGTGTGTAATGTTAGAAAGTTATGCTGTATTATTTCTCTTTAGTAGTGTGTTAAATATAGTTTTGGGTTACAACATAATGTTGAAATAGAAACTCTGTGTGTGGGGTTTTTTATAAAGAAATGAGAGATTCACTTCAAGGTAACAGTCACAGAACACCAAAATCTTCCAGAGAAGAGGAATTTTTTGTTTTCTTATCAGAGGAAGCTCATTTCTTCAGGCCTTGCTCAGACTTGAAGACACCGTGGGGATTAAAAGAAGGAGCTGACATGTACCAGACAGAGTTTCTTGTTTTAAATAGAATGTATGCATACCCATGAAGTATGTATGAATATGCAACAGTGTATGGTTTTTAAGGGTGATTCCTTTGTTCACAAGGCATGCTTTTTGGCAGCTTAGTGCCCAAAAACATCCAGACATCCGTAATTCTCTGCTTTTCATTGTAATTGTAATTGTCCTAACTCTAAGTTGGTATTACTCTAATTGTATTAGTATTTTTATAACAATTTTATTATTATTAAATGTTTAAAAATTCTATCAACAAGTGATTGGCGTTTTTCTCATGAACCACCCAGGGCACCACAGGGCACAGAACAAACCCCAGGTCATCGCTTCCTCCTGCTGCACCACAGCAGCACTTCTGCTTGCAGAGATGTGGGGAAACCTGGGCTCCAGAATGGCACAAGGATGTTTGCAAGCTGCCAGGGAGGCTAAGCCCCCCGACAGAAGCTATTCCCCCATTTCTGATTAATCTAATTAATCATATTCTGGCTATTGCCAAGCTGAGCTGTCAAACAGCAGCTGGCTCTGCCTTCTGAGTGCACCACCACGCTGAGGAGCAGAGCCCTGGGTGCCCCAGGACTGAGTGCTCGGTCTGCACAGGACAGCAGGTCCCTGCTCCCACCAGCAACTCCATCAGGGCTTTTTAAATCTTAGCAGTATTTCTGTTTTAAGAATGTGCAATAAAAATTAAGGACTGTGGAAGAGCAAAGGAATGTGCACTTCTGTGTCAGTACCACAGATAAAGTTACATACAAACAGCTGCTGATTGTGAAAAATGTCTATTTTATGACTGGCTCTTCCCAAATATTAAACTGAATACTATATGTATTATGGAGGGTTATTTTTTAGTACTGTATCCCTTTAGTACTGTACATCCCTTTTAAGTAGTGTGTTAAGTATAGTTTTAGGTTATAACATAATGGTAAAACAGAAACTCTGCTATGTAAGATATTTTTTGCTAGCTCAAGAAAAGGGTAAGATAAATAAGAAACTCTTTGCAACACATAAACAGCAACAGGATACCTAAAGACTTAGAGCCTCCTTATCAGAAAACAAAAACATTCTTCCACCTTCTCTCTGTCTTTATGGAACCACCAGGATTAAGGTAAAGGAGTTGACAAAAATCAGAAAAATTCTTAATTTGCAAGGAATTTACAGATCAGGTATGAAATATATGAATATGCAACAGGCTGCTGCTTTTAAGGGTTATTCCTTTGCTCACAAGGCAGGTTTTTGGCAGCTTAGTGCCCAAAAACATCCAGGTGTCCGTAATTCTTTTTTTTTTTACTGTCTCATAACGTCCTAATCCTCACTGTCCACATTTTTATTACTCCAAATTTATTACTAATAAACTTTTAAGATTTTAAAGAATTTTAAAGATTGGTGTTTTTCATATGATCATTCCTTATATCCTGTAATTCCCTTTACTCAGTTGACTCCATAGCCTTGCTGAGAGCCTGCATCTCCAGCAGCAATTACAGTGCTTTGTTAAACTCTGGAAATCACTTTTAATTACCAGACATTTCCCAGAAGTGATCTGAACACCTCCTCCTTCCAGTGAAAAGGTGAGAAATTGCACTGAAATTTAATTCACACGGGAGTAGGACTGAAATAGTTCACATCAAGTTGCCCAGCATCCACATATGTTTAGTAGCACCACCAGTCTTGAAAAGCAGTAAAGGACTTTTTAGCCAAGGCTAAAAGAAAACAACTCTTTGATCCATGTTTTCTTTCCTTTGAAAAAAAAAAAAAAACAAAAAAAACAAACAACGAAAAAAAAAACCCAAGAAATTCAGAGAATGGTCAAAAATTCAGTCTGAAATTTTGAAAACTGTGTAAAAATGGAAATATCTGATGAACTGCATTCACTGGTGTGCTCAGGTACTCAGGAATCAGTTCTAGGAGGGGAGAGAGAACAAACAATACCAACCATTTCCTAGAACAGCAGTTAAAGGATGCACATGGAGACAATTCATAGTTCACACATAAATACAAAGGTGCATTTTTTGATGCAAATTCTAGTGGAAACTGGCTCATTTGAACCTGGGTACAGGAAATTGTTGACCAGCTTGTATGGTGAAGGCCTATAAATCCATTAATCCCCCACAAAAAGCCAGCCCAGGCTTGTTTTAAAACTTTTGCTTAAGAGGCTGAAAATTTTAGGGTAATTTTCCCCATTGTGAGAAAAACCTTTGCTGTCACACGTTATAAAAACCCACATCATCCTCATCCTTCTTGCTCTTTTGACTTGCTGTCTCTTCCAAAGAAACATAAAAAACAAACAATGCTTTTACTTGGAATAGCAGCACACACAATATTATTAAAAGGGGGATTATTTTTGTTTATGTAAGAAGAAAGGTCCTTTTAATAAGCACTTATCTGTGTTTCTTATCTCTTGTTTGATATTTGTCCTCACAAGTGATTTTTTTCAGACTTTTTTTTTTCATATATCTGTTGGAAACCTGTCAAATGGTCTTAGAAAAGTCAGGCAAACTCTGTTTATTGCACACTTATTGGCTTACCTGCAGAATACTTACATAAATGTTAATAAACACACCATAGATTTATCTGTGTTTTTCATTATGTTTAATTAAAAGCACCCCTTAGTCTACAGATGTTTGAATGTATTTATTTATTTAATCATTGCTTAGTCTTCAAATGTTTTCTGCAATCCTCAGGGTTGCAGGACAGTGGGCTTGAAGCCAGTGGTTATAAAATATTCACACTTTTTAGACAGAGCTGTTTTCACTCAACCTAAGGGCAGAACTCATGGCTGCCAGCTGTTCTGCAGCAAAGCTTTCCAATACAGGTATTTTTATGAATGAAACTTAAGGCAGGCGCTGCTTTATGGCTCATAAAACACTTAGTAATCCTTCAAAACTAAATACTCTGGAGGGAAAACCCAGCCCTGTGAATTCTGTGGTACACAGTCAATCTCACTCTGTGCTACAGTTAACCTGTGAAATAATTAGAAATGCATTTACCTCAGTATGTTTGCAGTAGCTTTCCTTTCTTGTGGCAGAAGGTCAGGGTCTCTCAAAACTTCCTCCAGCAAATTTAACACGTTCATTTTCAGCTCGTTGTTCAGCTCAAAATCCTGAAAAGGAAAAAAGTTTATTACTTTTAGTCTTAACAGTATTGAACAAACAACTGAAAAATTATACTTCAATGGGTTTGCCTTTTTCAGTTAGGTTTGAATTTTTTTTTTTTTACTACTACATTTGAAAATATTTAGAGAAAGCTGTGGTACAAAAGTGAACTGGCCACACAAATAGGATCTCCCAAAGGCTGGGATTTCTCTCCTTTTTGACCTTTGCCTTCTGTGTGGAGATGGGGTGGTCAGGGAACCTTCTTTTTCTGAATTATCACCTGCATCTGGCCAAGACCCACAACATCCCCTCTCCTGCTCTGTGTTTAACTGCAGTTACAGCACCACTGCCCAGCAGGGCACGACCTTTCCTCTCACTGCTTCCTTGAGGTTCTCTGCTCATCTGCCTTCCCTCTGGTGTTTCTCACCTCATACCCACCCTGCTGGAAAGGTCTGCTTCTTGTGGAGTCTCAAACTAATAATTCATTAAATAATCTGGCCCTGCACTGAAGAGTTATTATTTAAATTACCTGTGAGGTAGACTGATACCTGACACAGGACTGAGATTCAGGACAGGCAGCAACCCCTTGTCTGATCTCTTATCTGATGAGATCACTTATCTGGATTTGGAGGAATCAGGCAGCATTAGGCATTCTACAGACACAGTGAGGTGGGAAGTTGCAGGCAACTCTTGGGGTAGGCTCCAAAAATTCTCACATTCAGCTGTGAGCTAGCACGTTGATAGAAAACAAACCAAAGCCTTCAGCTGCCTTGTGGGAATCCAGAGCATCCCTCTGGCTGCCCTGGCAGGTCTGGGACCCTGGCAGGGGTCAGGAACCCCCCTGGACAGAGCCCCCAGAGACACTGGCTGTGATCTCTGGCCATGGAAAAGAGTTTTCAATCTTACAGGATCAATTACCAGCTCTGAGTGATTGATGTAAGTAATAATTAAGTGTGGCACAGGTGCAAAAGTAAAATTTTAGGATTCTAGATAAGGGGTCCAAAGGGGACAAGATGGAGGAAATTGGGTGTGCCTTGTCCTTTTTCTCCTTCTTCATGCCCCCCATGTTTCACTGTGCTGTTGGCATTTTTCTGTTGGTTCAGGCTGGGGACACACTGTCCAACGTAGGTGACAGATATTGGCACGTTATTGTAAATCCAGCACAGGGAGTTTGTGGTATTTAATGTTTGTACCATCCCACTGAGGGCAGAGCCCCACACGCTGCCCTGCAGGACAGAGCTGCGGCAGGGCAGCAGAACATGTTAGAGATAAACAGAATAAACAACCTTGAAACCAGCACAGACCAATTATGGCTTCTGCTTTGGCAGCGGGGCTGACAGACAGAGACTTTTACAATCTGGGAATCATCAATACCCACAGATTCCGACACTGCCTGGTGCACCACAGACCCTCCCCGATAACCCACCGCTGCTCGCACGCAGGACCGCGTGTGTGCAGAGCTCCCTCTGATTTCCATGGCAACAGGAGGCACCAAGCTACTGAAAATGAGGCAGATTTGGCACCTCGGCACACGATCCTGGTGTTTCATTCCCAAAGAACCCCCGGAGCACTGTGCTGAGGGTCCCTGGAGATGTGTGCCTCTGGGGGTAGCAGAGCCAGCTCAGGTGAGCCCAGCTCAGGTGAGCCCAACTCAGGTGAGCACCAGAGCACTCCCACAGCCACCAAGGCAGGCGTGATGCCTTAACAAGGCTGCCCTGAGCAGAAGCTTGATGGAGTTACAGAACAAAGCAGGGATTTATTAAAGGATCTCCTCATGGATCCACCTGGGGCAGCACCAAAGCCCAGCCAGGGTTGCCCCAAATGAACCCAAATGGTCCCAAAATGCACCCAAGATGACCCAAAATGGTCCCAAAATGCACGAGCGCTCCCGGGGGCTCTCCCTGGGATCAGTTCTACTCCATTGGCACCTTGGAGTTCATTGTCCCATTCCAGCTTCAGCCCAGGCAGTCCCATCCTGCTTGTTTTTCTCTCTCCAGCCCACGGTGTTTGTGCTCCTGGGCTGAGATTTGGATCATTTGTCCTTGGTGCCCAGCTGGAGCAGGAATTGTTTTGTCTCCCTGCTCTGTGCACAGAGCTCACCATCCCTTAATATGAATCCTAAACCCACACACTGAAGCAGCACAGAATGTGAAACATAAAAAAGCTGAACCTGAGGCATTAGGTGGAACCTCATTTGGAAATGGGAGGGAAGAGGTCAGAGCAGGAGGGGGATGAGTGCTCATCACAGGGCTGCCACAGCCACCCTCACAGCATTTTTGAGGAGGTTATTGCTCCAACATCAGTGCTCAGGTATCACCCACCCCGGGCATTTCCCTCCTGTGGCAGCACCTTCTCTTCACTCCTCCAGAGTCTCCTCACTGGGCCTCAGCTGATTAATACTCTGGAACTGATTAATATCCATGTCTTGTATTTTCTGGAGGTGTTTACCCTTATTTGAGGGTGTTGGAAAAAAGGAATTTGCAGCATTTGAGCTTAGGATGGGGCATTAAACATTCAGCTCAAAGCCAAGCAACAATTATTTCTGGGCACTGCACTCTGTTTTCTAAAGCACATTTTGTATAGCCACGCTCTGAAATGCCTCCCTTAGGAGCTGTTTTAGCCTGTTTGCAAGGCAAGACAAGAGAGCTTTCCATACATTTGGGGTATGGAAATGGGACTAATTAGAGACAACACGAGGATTGTAACTAAACCACATGACAGTACTGTGCACTCCGGTGATTTCGAGAAGAAAATAATTTGAAATATAAGACTATCAAAACTTAGTTAAAGGAGAAACTTTGAGCCTGCACAACCCTAAGCAACCAGTGCAGTTAATGAGGCTGTGCTGCACCTCAGTGGCTGACACTGTATGAAAGAGGATGGGTCTCTGCACTCTACAAAAATATCCCAAATGGGCAGAAGAGGTGTCCAGGAGGTGACACATCCCCCACCCCCATTCAGCACTCCTGGGTAAAATCCTCGGGCAGATCACATCGTCGTGGCCAGGATTTTATCTCCAAGCACAGCTTTCAAACCACAGCTGGCTGATTCTTTTCATTAAGAAATATTTTCTCTTAAGATGTCTGGTTGAAAACACACCTATGACCAAAAAAGTCTAGAATTTTAAAAGTTATTTCATTTGCAAATAGGATGGGAGAGCCTCACATGTAATTATCAGATTCAGCCAAACCAAAGCATTTCCAGTTTTCACATGGTTACATGCTAATTCTTGTAATAATGAGAATTAATAATTTGATCATTAACATTAAAACTTGTTTTACTGAGTAATCTCCGTAAGACAATTGTACTGGAATGGCTGGGGAAGCTCAAATTTATGGTTTTTTTTTTTTCAAAGCAATGTCACCTATTTCTCATCATGTGATGAGGAACAAGAAAACTATGAAAAAAGATGGGAATCAGAAAAAAAATGAAGAACTAATCTCTTTTTCTGATCTCTTTTTCTCATTACCTAAGTGGTACTGAGATTCCAGCGTGATGAGCCATATATATTGAAAAAATAACAGGGAAAATATTGCATTTAAACATGTACATGCACTTAACTTCTGTGGAAAAAGGTTGAAAGATTTGTATCATAAGAATGATACAAACACCAAAACAAATTTTAATATAATTTAAAAATAGCTAAATAACTCTAAACACATGCATATTATCTCTAGCTGTACTATGGGTGTCACACATGAATATTTATCTCTTTATACTATAGGACACTTAGATCCACAGGTAGTTTTTTGTGGCATTAGATATACGTGTATCACAGTTCTCTACATAATTTTACACTCCTTCTTTGACTTCTGGTTCTAATTTACATTTCACAGAAGGAATACAGTTGGTCAGACAGGAATCCTTCAATTTCCCAGCACGTTTCAATCTGACAGGGGTTCAGTTCTTCATGAGAGGGTCACATACCTCTAACATATTTTAGAGTCTACACTAGCCTAAAGATTTGTGGATATTATTCAGATTTGGAATCACTGGCCAGAAGAAAAGAGAGTGCAGCAGAGGCAGCAGAAAGCAAGGAAAAGAAAAAAAAGGTTCACCATGCTAAGATGCCTTTTTAAACTAAAAACAGTAGATTTACTGCTGATGGTTTATACAGAGGATATTATTTTCAAGATTTGACATGAGCTCAGTGAAACCCCAGGAGCTTTTCCTCTCCCTTTTCTTTAAATGTTCCTCAGTGAGAGAAAACATTCTGCATCTAAAAGATGTGGGGAACACTGAATAATCCAGATAGGTAAAATTGAGCTAAAACAGGAACATGATTTATGGTTGAGTAGAACAGGAGGGAGGGAAGAAAGAGGCAGGAAGGGAGAGAGATCTACTGGAAGACTTTTTCCAAGGAATTTGGGATATTTATAAATAGATTGGGATTGCCTTACAATTTTCCTGCCTCTGTCCTCATGCCAAAAAGAAAGCAGGTAATTATTGCAATGGCAGCTGATGAGTGAGTCTTAATCTTGTGCACAGCACATCAAACACTGTCAGAGCTCAGTGAAGTTACTCCACTGCTGCAGTCCTGCACTACAATTATTTCCTTTTGAAGCATAAAACCACACTTCACCTACCACACACAACTGTGTTGAGCAAAATCTATGTAAAAATCACATGCAACAGAACATTGGCACAGATAAATAGAATTTTAACTGGATTTCACGAAAATTCATCCCTGAGCTTGAAGTAAGTCTGGCTTACTTCAAGAAATAAGTTGTTTCAAGGCAGCTTGGGGTCAATTTGCAATGTAGTCAACATACAGTGTATCTTGCTAAGTGTGGCTGAAGTGTAGTTTGTTAATATTTCTACCATTAACTTAGTATAAACTCCCCAAATATCTTGTTCATTACTTTATACCATTTAATATGAGCTAAGTGAGTCAATTTTCTATCTATTTTTTTTAACTCCAATGAAATGGAAAGAAATGGAATTGGTCAATTCATGTGAGCTAACACTATTTTTAACTAACTGAAATACTTTTTTCTCTGTCTCCAGG